TATGTATTAATTTGCACACCCATACTCACTAGAAAAACCTTCAGTTAATAACTCATTCTTGAAATGCCCTTCTCATCCTTCTCAAATGCCTCATCCATGGGATATATGCTCCACTTTGGGAACTACAGGAGTAGACACACAAACTTTGAGATATATATATATATATATATATATATATATATGGTTGTTGGATAGAGGTGAAACCCAGGGTCACAAACTCACATCTATCCAACCATACATGTTAGCTCTATCTCTGATATTGAGCGCTTTCTAATAAGTACCACGCATATAATATATAAATAATTATACATATATATATTTATTTATATACACTTTTCACACACACACACACATATATATATATATATATATGTGTGTGTGTGTGTGTGTGTGTGTGTGTGTGTGTGTGTGTGTGAAAGAGTGGACATTGATGATGATAACACTGAGTGACAAAGTCTATTTCATACTTGAATACAATCTTCAGGATATGTATGACATGGTAGCTTGACTATTTATATATGCTGTTAAAGGGGGGCATTATAGGTAGCAAGGTCAGATATTTCTGATTTATTGTAATATTCTAAGTCATTCGATAGGTGTAGGCAGTTACATTTTAAATTATTGTAAATTTTTTTTTGAGTAAAAAAAAATTATGGGCAAGAATGCAGTTATTTTATAGGGTTGTTTGATAACTTTTAACTCATTATATATTGCTTAGGGTATCTCTATAAAAGGCAGGATGTGTGTGTGTGTGTGTGTGTGTGTGTGTGTGTGTGTGTGTGTGTGTGTGTAACAAATGCATGGCTGCAATTTTTGACAGATTCACATGCTCCAAGTTAGCGGGAAGGCCAAGACCGACTTTGCATTTCCCAACTCCCATCGATAGCGGAAATAATCGATTTTTTCATGCTTCTATGGTAGTTTTCAGCCATTTTCTACTGGCCAGAGTGAGAGCCTATAGCTGGCTGCCACGAATAGGCAGGAAGATTCTATTGGCCAGCGTGAGAGCCAACAGCTGTCCGACACAAATGAGTCCTTTTTTAAAGCTGATCGTTTTGTGTTCATTTTGTTTAGTTCTTTTTTTTAACAGATTTAATGTTTAGTATAGAGCTTAGAAAAAATTTGCAGTGTGAGATAGGCAAGAAGTAAGGCATGTAGCAACATCAGCACAGCAAAGGGCACTCCTTTAAAGGCAAGGAAGGGAAAAAATATTTTCAGTCAAGTGATAGCTGTACAAGTCGTACGATTTTTGAATCAAGCACGGGCAACACTGCTAGTTTTGTATATATGCATTATTATTAATCAATTCTAAATAATATGGAAGCCATGTGTCCATGACCAAATGTGAGCCTTGAAATTAAAGGACATTGATGACTGGTCTAACCTGGAAAGGGATGGGTTCTTTTAGAATGAATACCTCTCCAACTTTCAACCCAAATGCACACAACAAAGACATGCAGAATCTGCTGGTTAGTTGTCCAATAACCCTATGACCACACCCAGTTATGGGGAGGAGAAGGAAGAAGAAATACAGTTAATATTTCTTGTAAAAAATATTCTTTACAAGTAGAATCAAAGAATATTTTTGCAAAGAATTTGAATTTAATTCTTCAGCTTAGAAATTCTGGTTGTGGACAAAGCGTCAATATTGTCTGTTGCTAAATACTGTGCTAAGCGTATTCAAGCCTTTTCAAAAATATGCTGTTATTATTGCCAGTAAATTGCATAGAGCTTTGTTTATCTCTAGAAAATTATTAATGTATTTGTGAATAACATCAGTTCTATTCAATGTTTTGTTTTTTTTTGCACTGTGTCAAAGAAGTATTACACTACATAGATTTTTTGAATTTGTTTTTATGTATTTGTATACTTACTTTTATAGATTGACTTCAAACATTTTATAAGTTTACAGTGTTATATTGATTACTTTTTTTATTTAAATTATTTCACCCCAAGCAAAGCAATAATGCCATTAGGACACAGTAGGTTACAGGGAGTGAAAAAAAAAAAAAAGACTTAATGATAAGTAAGGAGAAAGAACAGGATTCAGGAAGACAGAAGATGACAATTGACATTGCATTTAAGGTTTTGAAGATTGTAGGTGGCAGGGAAGCAAGAGACTGGAAAAGAGTTCTGCAGACAAGAAGTCCAAGAAAAGAAACTATTAGAATATAACAGATGGTTTTATATTACTAGTTCTACAGTAAAACAGACCTAGTTGCTAATCTACTAGCACAATTATAATTCATGCAGTCAAGGCTACAAGGAAAAAATTTTGTCAGACCAGCTGCCATGAAAATATTTATAGAAAAGACAGAGAGAAGCCATTTCATGCTGGGGAGAAAGTTACTGAAGTCGAGATGCCAGATCAGGATCGATTACATTAGACCATTCCTTGAATTTTGTCAAGAATCTGGAGATATATAGTAGGAGCACCAGACCAGATAATTTTTCTATTGAAATTCAATTCAGTGGACTACAATAGCACTTGAAACAAAAGAAAGCATCACAAATCAAAATTATTAAGAATTTAATTGAAAATAAGTCCATAAGTTGGAGTGCCTTGTGCCATCTTGTTGTAAATGTTTAAATGTCTCTTATTTTAATTTGATATTTTTTTGTTTGTTGCTTTTGATGTTTTCACCTGTCCTTCCTTATGCTGTGTATATTGTTCTCCCCATTGCTATTAATTATCAAACATTTTACTTGCCCCTCGACTGCTGACTAGAACTGTTTAACCTGTATTTTAATTTGCTCCATTAAATTATGAGTGTGTGTGCAGAATATGAAATATATATATATTACACACACACACTGGTCTGTCTTTTGACAGAGCTCCCAACGGATCTATATTCTCTTAGAAATTCCATATGGATTATCAATAATTTTTTATTATATATATATATATATATATATATATATATATATATATATATATATATATATCTCAGTGGCAACTCAAGGAGTAGGGCTTAGCCCAAGTGAGTCAATATTCAAGTATATCTTTTTTTAAAGCAACAAAAATTTTTAGTGCGTCATTTTTATTCTTGATTTCAGCTGGATCCAAAATTATTTTAACTCCGTACCTCAAAATATTGACCAAAATAAATTTCATTGATATTTTTCATAATAAAAGAGAAAAAAAAAAACAAAGAAAGTAAAAAAGAATGAAATAAAATAAAAACGCAAGAATCAGTGTGACAGCTCATCATATCAGGTGCCTATTTGTTACTGCTTGTAATAAATGTGAGTCCTTGAAGGAGCTAAGTTCCTCTTTGTTGAGAGAATGAGTCACTGCATAACCACTAAAAACTTTGTCTTTCATAATTACTAGCAATTTTCAGGTGTTGAGTTACAATTCAACATATGAAGATTACATTGTATGTGAAACTCAGAGTTGTGCTTCCAGTGAGAAAATAAATGTATATTATTAATATATAATTTATAGGGCTGTTATTTTATATTGAGCACTATTTTATTTACACCAACACCCAGTGTGCAATACACACATACTAGTGTGTGTGTGTGCCCATTAGATGTAAAGGTTAATTCTCATGAGGTGTTCCACTAATGAAGCTTTATGCCAGATTAGGTAAAGCTGAGCAAATAGCCGCTAATATTGCATCTTAGGAGACAGAATAAAAACCAGTTCAAATATAACAAAATCAAAATGTACAGCATTAAATCTATATCTATAAAACAGAATGTCTGCACGTCCACATTTCTCGACCAATTTTGATGAAATTGTGAACACATGTTGCAAATTTAGCAAGATAGGTTAAGACCAACTTTTCAATCACCAGGCCCCTCGGCTTTGGCAGAAAAAAAAAAAAAAAAAAAAAAAAAAAATTCAATAAAACTTAAAGTGGGTATGACTTTGCAAAAATCAAGGCAAAGTTACACGTGAACAAAATTTTTACTGGATGAGCTGATATTCTTTGCACTTAATGCAAAACATAGCTCATGTTACAAAGGTTATGCAGAGAGCTTGATAGTTTTCCTGTGACATTTGCGTCACACAAAATAAATTGCAAAAAACAAAAAAAAAAAAAATAAAAAAAATACAGTTATTCATAATATTTAAAATAAAAACTTGAATAACTTCCTCATTTTTTATCAGATTTTCTTCAAACATGTTGCAAAAAAATTTGCCATCATGCAAGAAATAAGTGGTTTTAGTCTTGCTCGCTTCCCTGTGTATAACAAAAAACATGAAAAACATGAAAAACTGCCTGAAAAAGCCAGTTTTTTGGCCATAACACCTCAGTTTTTCATGATGCTTTCCAAATTTGTCATATAAATTACATATGACACACAGATTGTCTTACGTGAATGTTTTGTTTAGATTATTTAAGTGGACTAAATCTGCAACAAACTAGGTACAAAATTGGCTTTTGCCATTTAGACAATAGTTTCTTCATAGGATTCCATCCTAAATTAGCATTCAAACAACCTTTGATGCAAAGATTTTTTGAGAAGGATTATTGAGGCTTTAAAAGGGAATAGTTCCTGAAGAACCTCTTATTAACTCCAGCTTTACAGAAAATGTGAGAAGAAGAGGGGGGGGACAGTTATACAATTGTAGCCATGTAAACCCAGTCAATATCGGGTACTTCGGCTAGTAGCATATAAAATAGCCGCCATTCTTACATTTAATATTACAGTATTATGAAGTTTAGTTTAATTCAAGTACTGGTAGGCACTAACCTCTGGATAAATATTAGTTTACAAGATACTTCAAGTTAGCATATTGACCCAGGGGATAAGTTTTTCAGAGAAAAGAAAGTTTTATATGCCATGAAATATGGTATTTATCAAGAATATTATCATCCATAGGCATGAAGGGTACTTGTTTAAATCATTAGAACTTTATGCAAAAGCATGCATTGTTTTTTTTTTTTTCAACAATGATTAAAAACAATAAAAACAAGAGTCAAATATGTAAACAGTGTATTTTCAAATCTGTGTTCTATGTACATTAATTTATAGATAGATAATGTCTATAAATATATACTTTCTTTGTGACATACTTCAGCAACATCTGAGATTATTGAATTTAAAGTAATTTCATCTTTTTGTTGTCTTGAAGGTTTCTTGCTTAACAACATAAGTGTGAATAATAATGGCAGATGTAGTAATGTGAATCTGAACAACTGTCTGGATGATTTGCTATCTCCTTCCTTGTAGAACTTCCATCCTAAATAAGAAAGGTAAGCATTGAGAGGCAGAGAATCTACCATGAATATCCATGTCGTTAAGTTTATAGCAGGTGCCATTAGAGAAAGGGATGTAATTCCAAGGCAGTAGCGAAAAGCGACTCTTCGACATAGACTAGGGTTCATCACTGAGGCCATACAGTATCCACCCCGAGAGTAATCAGGACGAAGGTTCCAGCTAAGAGCATTGAAATGAGGAAATTGCCATGCAAACATCACAGCTCCGAGAAACCAGGCTCCTGCAGGTTTTAAAAGAAGAGAAGAAAATAATTAATGCAAAAAAAAAAATAAAAAAAAATAAAAAAATAAAATTTAGCAACAACTGGTGACTTCTCAATATACAAGAAGTTAGATTGATGCCTTGAAGAAAAAAAAAATGTTCAAAAATGATAAAAGATAAAAGTTCTGTTTTGGAAAATATCACTTAATTTTTTGAATGCCAATTTTAAATTTTTTTCACCACTAAGTCGAAAGGGGGGTTACTAAGTATTAGAGAATATAAGAAAAAGTCTTAATAAAGAAGAGTGGACAAAAAAAGAACAAGAATTAAGAAGACAATGATTGACATTGCATTTAAATTTTTGAAGATCAAACTTGACTGGAAAGTAAGAAGCCGAAAGAGAGTTCCATAAGCGAAAAGTATGATAGAAGAAACTGTTAGCATAGAAACAGTTGCATTTAGCCATTTCAGATCTTGCTGCCAATCTAGTTGCTTAAATTCATAAAGTCTAAGTACTATAGAGGAAAGTTCATCAGAACAATTACCATGAAAGTATTTATAGAAAAAGCACAGGGAAGCTATGGTGATGGGAAAAAATGACTGAAGCCGAGATGCCAGGACTGGACAAATAACTTTGCAGCTTCTTTGGATTTTATCAAGAATCTCTAAATATATCGCAGCAGTACTACACTAGATATGGCAGCAATATTTAAAGCATGTACAAATGGTAGACTTATAAATGTGTAAGCCAGATTCTGGCAAGAAAAATTGGCATAACACAGTGAACCAAAATTGATTCAATATAATCATTCTTCTTCATATCAGTGGAAAACCTTAGTCTGGGAATGTGTAAAGAGTCAATCTCATGGAGTTTAGAATCGACTATTTTTGACAGAAGTTAAAATGTGTCTTCTCAGATAATTAAAAGAGAACAGTTTCATTTTGGATTTAATTTAATATAAATTGTTATATATTTATTTTTAACAAATCTAAAACATTATCACTTAAATATTCAATTTTGTATTGACAAGTCAATGTATACACACACCTTATATAGTGTTTAAGCAATGTTTGAATGAGGAAAACAAAATCTTATTACAAGCAAAATACTTTATATTACAACTAGTTTCAATCAATAAATTGAAATAGACAATATTAAGTTTCCAAATAGAACCTTGTAATCACCGAGTGTTTTAGAGCACAGATGGAATTAGGTTTTTATATCCAGTTATAATTTCATTAATTATTCCATTCAACTACTTGAAAGCTCACATGTGTGTAATTCAATTTTGTTTCCTTACATATAATTTGGTTGATACAAAAGCTTGAAGAAGATACCTACCTAGTGAGAGATCACCAGTGCAAGCTGCCCAACCCATCATAGGTGGGATTGCACCAACAAGGGAACCAACCCAGGTATTAGCAATACTTGTCCTTTTCATGGGTGTATATACCAACGTGTATAGTCCAAGGTTTATGGCTCCCAAGTAAGCAGTTAAGGGATTGACACCCCAATTTAAAATTGCAAAACCAGTTGCACCAGTCAAACTGGCAAACAGTACAGCATGTAATGGGCTGAAATAAAAAAAAGAGAGAGAAAGAACAATTCTATTAGATTAAAAAAAAAAAAAAAAGATAGTAAATTAATTTATTATGCAGCAAGAATTTAAAAATGATGAAAATATAATGCATTTATATAATTAGTCTTAAAAATTAAAAGCCTTGGAGAAATTAAACAATAGTTTTTTTTTTAGTTTCATTGAAAGTTCCAATTTAACCCATATCAATTGTAGATTTTATAGAGAAAACAAATTACCTCAAATTTACAGCTTCAGTTTTATAAATTTATAGTCAAGCATGAGATGTGGAGAAAAAAAAAAAAAGAAAAATTCAGGTATTTTTAATTTTTGTGTTTTTCATCTGTTCTTTCTTTATTCTTCATATTTCATTCTCTGAAGTTTTAATAAAGGCAAAACGTTAGATTTATAAACATTTCCTATTTGTTCCTTATCCTATTATTTTATTAGCCCCAAAGAAGCAGTAGATGTATGAATCTGTGCTGAAAAGTTCTTGGTTCAACCAAGAAGGAGATTAAAAAAAAAAAAAAAAAAAAAATGATATTTGGCCAGATTTGGAGATGTTGGTCAGGCTGAGAACTTTACAGCACCTCCTCATAGAATACATTAATATAATAATAGTTAACGGTTTCATTAAAATGCTAAACATAAAAATTAACTTTACTTTTTTTGCATTCTTGATATACAAATCATTTTGACAGTATAAATGTATTTTAATAATAGGCCATGACAACTCTTTACAATGCTTCATTTCAACCACAAAATGAGTTTGGGTAGCTTTTTTTTCCCTCCAGTTAACATCTTATGCATAATTCTGCCTAGTATCGCATATGTAGAAATGAATTAGAATCTAATTTCAAGATAAGCCATATAAGAAAATGATAATATTACTCCATCGGTTGTATAAGGGATTTGTTGGCACATTATATAAACAAAATCCAACATAACATCAAGAAAATCCACTCATTTAACATTAGTAGTTATCTTAGTCTTAAGATTTAAACTTTTTTGATTCTTATGAATCAGTTTTCTTAATTTATCAACCTTAATTTTAGTGGAATTTTTTACTACCATATGACCATCCAATTCTAACCACCCCCTATCTGTGATTAAATAAATACCTTCATCCGTAGAACGTAGGATTAGCAACTACTCATTTGACAAATATGTGTAATAAATATAGCGGTGTTTATAATACAGTTTTAAAGAATAGTGGTTACAAGTACACCAAAATCAAGTATAGAAAATATGATGATAGTGGTCTAAAGAAAAGAAAGAGAAAGATCATTTGGAACATCCCCCATTTAAACAATTGGTAAGTACTAAGTTAGGCCAGAAGTTCCTCCATTCCTCTTAGTAAAATATTTAACAGAAATACATTAAAACTAAGTTATAGCTGCACCAATAATCTTGATAAGATTATAAAGTTACACAATAATAAAATTTTAAACGAATTTAATAATCTGGATCATAATACACATTCCAAGATTGACTAGTATCATTAATAATATCTATGTAATTATAAGAATTCCGACCAATGACCATTGCCAATCAAATGTTTGACTAAATCTCCTGTTTACCCAAGTACTATCTCTACAATAGAGAATCCGACAGTTGAAAAATTTTATATTGGCAGTACTAAGAATTCTTTTAAGACTAGGTGGTATCAACATATCTTGTCCTTCACCAATGATATTTATAGAAATAATACATTTTAAAGTTTAAAAAGATGATAATAAAACTCCGAAGGTGAAATAGAAAATTATAAAAAATGGTAAGGATATGTAGCTCCTTACATGAACACAGTTTTCTGTGTTTACATGAAAAACTGGAAATTATCAGGTTCTTTGATAAAAATTCCTTATTAAATCAAAGATCTGAATTAAAGGTAAATTGTAAACACAGTGTACCTTTTACCTTACAATTTATTTAATGTTTTGAATTTGCTTTTTCTTAGATTTTGGTTGAACTGTGTTGCACTATATATGGCTTATCTTTGTAAGATTAATTTGGACTTAATTTAGTTCTGTATTGATCTCCTGCTAGTATTATTAACATCTTATATGGATGTATTGGTATTTAGTTAGTATTTTCGACATTTTACATTGATTGGTTGATATTATAACATCTTATATGGATGATATTTATTTAACAGTTGCATATTATTTACTAAATAATTATATATGTTTAGATTATTTATGAGTTTCTTAAAGAGGCTGCTTATTTATCAACTACAAAAAACCTTTATGTAAGAAATTGACAAAGCATATAACTAGTTGGAAATTTGGTTAAATTACCTCTCTACCTTGCCCACATACGTGTGTGTGTTGTACAAAAATTATTTGATGAAACCTAATTCTATAGAATAGAAAGCTTTTGAAAATTGATTTGTTGTCTTTTGTGAACTACCAGAAAAGGCAGATATTATTATCTGTGTACACTAATCCCCTTTGCAAAACCCAGTGTGCATGTTATAAGTAAAAAAGACACTAAGTTTTTTTCAAAAAATATAACCTTTTAACAAAAACAAGTTGGAGAGTCAACAGTTTTTTTTTAAATAATTTTTAATTGTCAAAACCTATTACAAAAAATGTCCAGTTTACCTCTAATTCTAAAAAGAATAAAAAAAAAAAAAGTGACTGGTTTTGTCTTTTACCTGAGATATCCCTGTACAAGTACACGGTTCTTTGTTCTGTTCATCTGACTATCAAATGGCACTTCAAAATACTGAAACAAAAATGAAACAATTATCTTTATTTTGCTAAACACTATAAACTAAAGCTGACTATTTATTAAAATATTGGTTGGCAGCTAAATTAAACAAAAAATAAAGAAACTGAATCCATAATGGCAACTCTGATTGTTAGCGAATTAGAATAAAAGTATAATTTTTCTCTTAAAATTTTGCATTGTACATTTCTAAAAACAAGACAATGGCTGCTTTCTTTCCATTTATTACCTGCTCAAATATGCAAATATTTATTACA